TTTTTTTTTTTTTTTTTTGTGGCCTAATTTTGGTAAAATGTGACTTATTTGTATATTATGACATGATATTAGATTAAAAAATTTTGGTTAAAATGTGACCTAATTTCTGATAATATCTAATTCTTGGTATTATGTAACCTGATATTAGTGATCTAGTTATTACAATTGTGATATATGTGTTTGCTGATTGTAGCCTACCATTAGTGTTTGTGACCTATTTTTTGTTAACCATGTTTAGGTTTGTGATTGATTGTGTAGGTATGTAAAGGATTAAATTCACAAAATCATTCACGATGTTAGTTTTTGAGACATACTATTTGAGTTGGGTGTTCCGTGTTTGCGCATATGAAGGAGATTGAATATTCTGTATTTGCGACCTTAATTTTATGTTGATTTTTTATGGCACGTCTGTTGTTCTTATTTATGCAAGAATGGAAATACATGATTCCATAATATTGTTAATTCCCGAGAAAAATTACTACAAAGTCTACAATAAATTTGATCACAAATTTTTTGACCAAAATTCAATAATATCGAGGAGATATTAACTAACACTTGTTTCTCATAGTACATGCATTGCAATGAGATCTTTGTCCAATATCTGGACACGAGGCAATGTAGAATTCTATGTATATGTCATTGTAACTGCAACCTCTACATAGCCTACCCCCAACTCTAAAATAACAAAGTTAACTAGCTCTATGCAAGAATCTTCCACTAGAATGAAGTGTGACTTCCATATAGCAGGGAAACATGCATAACTCTCATAACTGTTAAAACAATATAGTTATGTTAATTAACTTTTATTCAATATATCAGAATAATAGAACATGTCACAAATCAACAGCATTGATCACAAATATGAACATCACAATAAATCTGAAGGTTACAAATAACAGCCCTCGTCACAAATTGAATATAATATATATAAGAATGTCACAAATAACAACACTAGTCACAAATATGAAGGTCATAAATATGAATGCTGAAGATAACGATATTGGTCACAAATTTAAATATAGTATACATATAAGAAGGTCACAGATAATAGCACTGGTCATAATACAGTAGAGAACACCTTTCGGATTGTGACCATATTCTTGAAATAATAGCAATCCCTTATTCTTTCCTTGATGAATACTGATGCAGTTGAATTCATCATTTTTTAAAAAAAGATCTACTAAAAATCTGATTTTTAGATACACCAAACAGAGGGCTTTGATGCAACAATAGTGTTGGAAACAATGACTGAACAAAGATCAAAATTTGTTAATTCCTAAAGAATACGTTAAATTAATTAACCAATCGGTACTCGTTGATTCAATTGAATACCAAATATTCATTTAAGATGAGGTTTCTGTTGATTCTAGTCGAATATCGAATAAGTAATTTAATTAACAAATCGTTGATTTTACGAATAGAGTAATTGATTTGATATAGCCTAAAAGAGAATACTTTACCTTGGAGTTTTTGTTGTATAAGCTAAAGCTTCCCATGAAATATTGGACTTTTAAGGTTGGTCCAATTTGAGGTCAGAAGCCCATAAATCTCCTCAGGCCCATGAAGCACATCCCTTATATAATAATTCGGGAAGATTTTATAACTAAGAGGTTTAGTTTTACCAATTTCAAATTTAAGATATTATATTTCAAATTTCAAATTTCAGAATTTTTTAAAATTTATTTATAAAATAATTAATTAAATATATATTTTATTAACTAAATATATTAATGTCACAATTCCATATAATTTGATCACAAATTCTATNTACAAATTATATTTAGGTCACAATTTATCAAATTATTGGTCACAAATTAATAGATTTTTAGGGCACATGATATTTATTGATCACAATTTATCTATTTCATTGGTCAATTATTAGTTATTGGTCACACACAACCCATTTATTGGTCACAATTAACCATATCATTTGTGACCACCACCAACACAACGCCGCCGCTGCCGCCAACACCGTCGCAAACAACAGAAACGCACCACCCCCAACACACCACCACTTCCCAGCAACAAAATCATTGTTTCAAACATTACAGCCAACGTCTTCACCACCACCACTACACCAAACTATCACCACCAAAACACCATTGAAACCATCGGACCACCACACCACCACCACCACCACCAACCCTAAAACCACTAAAACCTGGAGGCTGGAAACCACCAACACCCATCCAACAAAAAAAAAATCATCATCACCACCATGATTTGAGCCGCTACAGCTGCCATCTAGGCCGCTACAGGCGCGATCTGCAACGCAACCCCTCTGCGCAGCACCACTGTGCATCAATATCATCGCTACAGATCACCACTACACAATAACGTATGCACAAATCACCACCGCCCACCATAGATTTCATCATTTTTTCTATTACACACAGAGATCACTAGTACATAATGATGCAGCGCCCCTCATAGCGTCATTTTCCCTCACATCGCGGACCACCCAACGTGGATGCAATCGAGGCGCTAATGTAGAAACCATCACTCCATTATAACGGATCGAGGTGACGTTCAAATCATGGTACGAAACAAAACTACAGATCAGATCGAGGCAGCGCTGCAATCAAACAACCAAACAAAGCAAAACTTCAGAGATCGACTCTACAACAGTGAGCAACGTTCGTCGCTATGAGCGCTGGTGCCAGTGAAGACGACGACGAGCGAGATGAGAGGTAGGGAGAATGAAAATTTAGGGCTTGGGGAAATGAGATAAGATGATGGAGGTAGAGTTGTTTATAAATTAATTTAATTTTATAAAAGTATTATTAATATTAAATTTTCATCCGATTTTTGTATAAACAAACTTAAAATCTGATTTTTGAAAATGTAACTTAAAATATTTGGTTCTACGTAATTTCCACTAATAACTCTCTTGTAAAGTCCGTATACTCCAGTCTAAATCCATTTCATCCCAAAAGGTAGCCCAAAAATATGTTGTCGGCCCGGTTCAAGCCCAACTAATTAATCCCAAATTCACTCACAAATAAAGGTTCAGAATTATTTCCCTCAATTAAAAATCCTGATTTATTTTTTATTTCTAGAGTAACATTTTCACAAACTTTATTTTGTCCTTCACTAAATGAATACCTATGAATTTCATAGACCAATTTGTTCTCGAAACTTAATTGTAATGCCCAGCCTTTAGGAAAATTAAATCAAGATCGAAACTTAAACCAGAGACAATTACTAGAAGATTCAAATTTGCTTTCGTGAATTGTTGATGCACCTTCTTGATGCATTTGTACCAAGCACTCTCGTTTTGGAGCGGACCTCGAAATTCATTTCTCATACTCATGGACACAACCTGCATGCAAAAGAAATCATCATTTAAGTATCCCTATTCATGTTTAGAGATTATTGCTCGGTCCATCTTCAATTCTTGAAATAACAAATTTGTATACCATGAAATCAAGAAGTTGGGGTTGACAAACACCATTAATCAATAGTTTTGTTTCCTTCTGATCATCAAATTTTTTTGGCTTATAAATATACACTGCTAATAAATATTTAGGTCTCAGTTCAAGAAATCCACAAATAGTACTCACTTCATAACTCATTAGCGGTGTACTTTCAAAATAATAATGCTAAATATGTCCCTCGGGGCATAGCTCAGTGGTGCAAAGGACATGAGTGAGGTAGTCTCAGTTGAACTGGCAGCCGCAGTGTGAGGGTTCGATTCCTGCATCTTACAAGGTATGAAATTGGACTCTTTGTGGACACCAATATGACAGCTCTTGTACCCTGACTTGTTGAGACACATCTCACGATTTACCTCTTCCACAATGCTCTAGGGGTGGGGCGGTGGGGGACTCTCAAGATTGGGGTTCAACCTTTAATAATGCTAAATTTACACCATTCCTCTACATTGATTTTGACATTGTCTTTGTTTTTAGAAAATTGTGGGAGAAAAAAATTGTTTTTTTTAAAAATGTCCAATGATATTTTGCCATGTGATACAATATAAAATATGATGTACATATAACATGATCGCTTTCAAAATTTGACACAAAAATAAAAAGATCGAAAAAGAAAAAAAATGACACTTGACATAGGTGTGTCTTTGTAGCGCTTGGGTACAAGGATCAATCCTTGTAACCACTCTATGGGGGTAAAAAAAACTTATCCTTGAAGAATCCATTCCCATCTTCATCACTGCAACACCAGATTGGCTGGCTAACATGATTATCAAGAACCACCATAATGCCACACAAACCAAGCTCTTCGATGACGGAATTTTGGGCATTGACGACGGTAAGGTTCACAAGATCAGGGTTGTTCTTGGCTATGCCCGCCATGGCATCTTCAAGCCCAAGATCGCGAAAAGATTGGGTTACCGTGAGATTGGCATGTCGTGTTACCATATAGGTAGCCCACGTAAGCCGAACACAATTAAAGCCCATTGTAGATACATTTCTTGCAATTTGGCCCAAGGGCCTTTTATCAAGTCCCTCTACGAATATTGGCTCGAGGTGCCCTGCCCAATTTACACACTCCAGCTTCACTCGTTCTCCGGTGAGCTCGTCTACCATCCATCTCGAGCTCGTCAATAGAGGAAGAGAATGACAACACAATACTGCAGAAGAAAGAAAAAAACAGTGGTATTAGTAGAATAACTTGCATAGTTTCCTCAATTTTTAATCAAAAAAGGACATAAATGTTCGAGGAAATGTATAATAAGAGAGGACATTTAATTTAGGTTGTTTCACCTAACTACATTTGATTAGAATATTGTCTACATCCCACCGAAACACACGAAAGATGAATTCATTAAATAATTCATTCATTTGTCTGAAGTTGGAGGTAAGAAATTGTTGAAAATTATAAGCCCTAATTTTATTCCGCCGCAATTAATTTGAAAAAAGAAAAAAGAATAATCAAGAACGCGTAAAATTCATAAAGGTTCTTAAACTGTTATTGGATTAAATTTTGATCAGTGGGGTGGAAGAAGGACGTCCTGCCCCCTTTCCAACCCCATGGCGACTATGGTTAAAAGGCTTTCGCTTCGGGAAGTTTGAAAGAGAAGAAATTTACCAAAGACGAAAATGATTTATTTGATATTATGGACGACTAAGGTCAATTCGTGACCAGCTTCGCAAAATAACAATAATTAGGCTCACAACTCAATAAAAAAGGATGAAAAAGTAGTCACTTTTTTTTCAAAAAGTTCTTATAATTTAAGTAAAAGTAAGCTTGAACTTGTCTATATCTGGATGGCTCTAATTTTGAGGGAATAAAATAGTCATGCATGCCAAATGCAGTGACTCTGATAAGCATTGGAAATTTAACTTGTGGATTTTTTCCATACATATGGGATAAAATCAGTTAGTAATCTTTAGAGATAAAAAAAAATGTACATCTAAACTAGGCTCAGAAAAAGTAAAAAAATTCTTTGTTAGTCACCCATTGCAAGGAGGTAAAGCATATACTCGAGTATCTTCAAATAACGAGGGACTATATGCTTATCTATTATGATCTAATTTTATAGGTTAAACTGATTGAGATTCGATTTGACAAGGACTATTGAGAGTTGACAGGAACGGCGTACAACTAGAAGGTGGTGTGATTGTTTAGATGAGTATAAGGCAATCTTGGATAGCTGATTATACCATGGAAATAAAACTTTAGCAACATGTGAAGTCTCTAAGGATATTGGTTGATCTTCGAGAGTTTCTCGTGAAACTAAGAGTCATGACAATGACCATTACGTCGAGTGGAGATGCCCCCTTGATCTAGGTTTGCTCATTGATATAATAAGGTTGGAGGAAAGATTTCATAAGAAGATAATCTTGCAGATATTTCAGACAACTTATTGTCTATGAGGATGATGATCACGCGTAAGGATGGAAAAGTCTGATAAGGCCGACAGATCCCAAAGTCTCTCGCTTTCACGTAAGCCTAACTCCTACACACTATGACAATCTTTAGCCACACATGGCTTCTTTCAGTGGTGGTAGAGTTGAGCGCACACACTCCGACGATCAAGTCAGTTGAAGTTGTAAGTATTTTAGTGTGAGAGGTACTTTAGATGCGAGCCTCAAATATAAAAATGGGTCGACTTTGGGGCAAATTTGTAATAGCAAAGAGAGCAAAGTTATAACTTGAAATTCAAACTTGTATTACTTTTGAAATGTCACATTGTGTGAGTTTTTATAGTAGAATATGATGGATACCGATCATAAGATGAAAGTATATATGGCCTCAGCCAATTGTGTGAGTTTTTATAGTAGAATAGGATGGATTCCGATCATAAGACGAAAGTATATATGGCCTCAGCCGCTAGAATATGATAGCTACCGACCGTAGGATGAAAGTATATGTGGTCTCATCTATGCGGCTGAGGGCTCTTGTCAAAGGTATCAATAAATCATAAGCATTTAATGTTAATACCATATTGCCATCCATAAATTTAACACAATACTTATACTTGACTAGTTTGGCTAAATAGGGCGACGATAGTAGTAAATTGTTACATCAATCATTCATCAAGGATTGCACAAAAGATCTCCTGCTAAGCCCCTTCCAACCTTTCCTCGCCTCACTTCGCCTCGTCTCTCATGAGGGTTTAGTTCTCCATATGTGGTCGACTCCAATAAATGGATTTTGACTTTCTATATAGGTTCAACCTCTACACAAGGGCTCGGCCAAATTGCTTCTTGAACAAAGTAACGTGGAGTGCAGTCCTAGATTCGCCTGCCGTGTAGGATTTCAGGGGCCTCGTCAAACGAGGCGTAACAATATTGTTATGAGCAAATGTGAAAATGAAACTACATTAACAAAAATAACAACAAAATTAATCTACAAAAATGAACTTTCTTCTTATCATAAATCGAACCAAGGCACGATACAAATAATTTTGTTAAATAGAATTTCAATTAAATTTTTGGAGAAGTAATTTTTAAACTAACCCAAACAAGCTCAACTAACTAAATTAATTAACCTTAATTGATTCATTATGTTATGAAATCAATCACGCATTGTGATTCCCATGCAACAATTAAAAATTATCATCGATATATTCATAGAATATCATAATTAAAGCTATTATCTTAGCCCTTGTTTGGTGATAATTAAAATCAAATTTTTAGTAAATTTTGATAGAAGTTTATGAAATGAGTGGTTGAAAAGTTGTAAGGCCTATAAAGTATGTAGTTAAAATTAATTGTTGACTTTAACTGAAGTTAAAATTTAAATTTTAATCAGTACCAAACATAGCTTAACTTATATTAAATTTTAGGCCGGGTTTATAATCAAAATATTTTGTTTTAATAAATTTGTGTTAAATTGCTCAAAATGCACAAGTCAAGTCGCTCATATCTCATTAAATTGCGCAATATCAACATTTAATTGAGTTTTAGGTCCAGATTATGCATGTTTGGATAGGCTTAAAGATTTACTCATAAGTAGATAAGTAAATTTTATATGAATCGATTGTTTGTTGATTAAAATTAAAGATAAGTAAGTTATTTGATTTTAGTATCTCATTGAGGAACTAGTAACATTTTGTATATATATATATAAAAAAGCACATTTAAGCACGTTTTTTAAAAAATTACTTAAAACTTAGTTTGATTTACTTTTTAAGCATAGTCACTAAGCTTTAAAAATATAGTTTACTATAAAACTGAAACTATTTATTTTGAAATATGGTAAGTTTTTGTTATTTTTAATTAAAACAATCTTATTGAAAAATAAATCTTATCTACATTTATTCTACCCCCAATATTTTATATACAGAGAGAATAGGGGTCTCGCTCTCTTTCAAAATAAGTGACTTGAGGCTCGTTTGACATGATTTCTATTTTTTACTTATGATTTTTGTAGAAACACTTGATAAGAAAGCCATTTTGGATTAATTTCATTTAAAAACTCTACTAATCAGACAAAATATTTCCAGAAAATTATTTAAATATGTTAAAAAATAACTTCTTCATTTTAGAAGTTCATTTGCTTTCAAAAAGATCCTAAATTATATTTGGATCTTGCTACATGTATCGAATTTTTTTACCTAATTCCTTTCCGACTACTCACAATATGGGTGGGGACCACATTTTGAGATTTTTTTTGTTCACTCGAGACCTGTGTGCATGTGAGGGGTAAACAATTCGGTACATTAAATAATGTACAAATATCTTTACCCATTATATTTAAGCCCGTGGAGATTAAAATTAATTTTTTAGTAAATTTTGAAAAAAATTGATAAAATATGTGATTGAAAAGTTCTAGATCTTATAACATATGTAGTTAAATTAATTGTAGACTTGTATTAAAGATTTTAATCCCTACCAAATAGGGGCTAAGCTTAACCAATCAAAACAAATTATTATTATTAAAATTATTAAGTAAATACTTTAAGATTATTCAATCCCTACCAAATATGGTCTAAGGTTAACCATTCAAAACAAATTATTATTAAAATTATTATTGAGTAAATATTTTAACATTATCCAAACAAACTTCCCCCTTGATTAAAATGCCCGCCAGAATCTCACTTTCACGCTGTGTAACCACAATCAAGATTCAATGTTCATTAATCTGTTACATGCACGCAGAGACAGAGAGAGAGAGACACAGAGAGAGAGAGAGAGAGAGAGAGAGAGAGAGAGAGAGAGAGAGAGAGTCCGTGTACTTGATTATCTTTTTTGTCTATATTTTCCTCCAAAACTATAAATTGCAAGATGGGTGATGACGGATCATCAAATAAAGGAGAAGAAGTAAACAAAAGAGATTGACAGAGAAAATGCCCATGCAGCCCAGCAACAGCAGTGGCAATGTCCCCTTCTTCGGAAAATCCGTCCACGGTGTCCTTGGCGGTGGCAAAAGTACAACAAAAGTTTTTTATCAGCTTTTTATTCTTATTCAGTTCTTCAATATTTGCGTTTTTTGGGATGTGAATTATTAAAAAATTCTAGTTTTTTTACTTTACTGGTTTGAGAAAAATTACCATGGGTGAACGAAATTTTGTGGGCTTTTGAATAGTTTCATTTTCTTTTAAATAATTGAAAGCATTCTGTATATTGATTTGGAATATGAATTACGAATGAATCTGGATTTTTATGCCTTTTGGTTTCTTGAATTTGTGGGTTTAGACTGTTAGAATAACATATTTATTTATTTAAATTTAGTCTTCACAGCATTCCTCAAGCTGAAAAGTTTTCATCAAAAGCTTGACTTGGACTTGATAAAATTTGAAGTTTGAGCTCGTGTGCTTTAATACCCTATCACGTTAAACCATATCGTGTAGAAGTTTAAACCGTTTGAAGAAGTACATGCTAACAATATATCTAATGGTTTCAATGATCAGTGGCAGATACTTTACTTTGGAAGAACTATAAGGTTTCAGGAGGAGTGCTTGGAGGGGCCACATTAACCTGGTTTCTATTAGAGGTTATAGGGTTCCATGTGCTTTCCATCGTCTGTCGAGTTTTACTACTTGCTCTAAGTGTATTGTTCGCATGGTCGTGTGGAGCTAAATTAATCAAAAAGTAAGCTTCTCGTTTAAATCGAGAATTACATTTAGTACTTGTTAGGATATATGGAATTTAATCACACTGTATACTTATTACTCAACGTTCATGTCATTTAAAGGATTTTAGAAGGTCGGTTTTTGTGATGTGATCATATTTAATCTTGTAAGTAGTGATTATGGCTTCATCCCTCATGATCTTATGTTATGAATTGTACATTGTGGTGTTTTTTTGGATTAGAACTCCACCAAAAATTCCAGAAATAGCAATCAAAGAGGTTCCTGCGTTGAAGTTGGCATCGGCTTTGAGGATCCAGATCAATCAGGCATCGGCTATTCTCAAGCTCATTGCATCAGGAAAAGATTTGAAGAAGTTTCTCTTGGTAGGTAGTTTCTTTACTTGGAATAAGGAGCCCTGTTTTTCATGTTCACAAGTTCGTTTATTTATGTTGCTCAACTGAAACTACTAGGGATGTTGTATAAGAAATTCCTCGAAATGCCGAACGAAGGTGGTGAGCCTCGGTCTGCTCGCGATGGGATCCGTGGATGAGCTCTATTGGACAGGCGATGTGCTCCGGATGCTTCATGAACGTGTCCTGACCCCAATACGGTGAAGAGGAGTTGATCTGGATAAAGTAAGCCCTCGAGATAGGTGGTATTCCATGTAAGGCGTGTGCCTCCAACGCATTGGAGTGGAGAATTCTGGTTGGTAGAGAGTGGACGGATGGATGATCGTTTGAGGGGAAGCTCGGTGGTCCTTTGTTCGAGGGGAGGATTGTTGGATATACGACCAAAATCCCACATTGGTTAAAAGTGGGGATGATCATGAGTTTATAAAGATGAACAAATATCTCCATTGATATGAAGTCTTTTGGGGTAAAGCCCAAAAGCAAATCCATGAAGGATTAGGCTCAAAGTTGACAATGTCATACTAATGTGGAGACGTGGTGTCCATAGCCCAACATAAAAGAAATCTAGAATAGCCATTACAGTAGCTTAAAGTTAAGATAATCACTCTGATCATGACGTTTTCTCTTAAATTGTTATCTCTGTTCCGCCAAGAAAATACAAAAAATGGCATCGCAAACTTCGATTTTTTTAAGTTGAATCATTTGTGTGCGACGTTTTTCTCATTTGGGATTTGTCTTGCGTGCTTATTCCGGCAGGTGAATGGTGGCTTGGCGTTGGTATCAACAGTTGGTAGTTGGTTCAATTTCTTGACACTGATATATTTAGGTAATGTCATCGCAAAAGGTCGTTTATATATATAGTGATTGTGATATTGTATATCTCAGTTTTAACAGAGTCGTTCATTTGTCCTATGAACAGCTACCGTGTTTCTCTTCACCGTGCCTTTAGTCTATGACAAATACGGGCATCAGATAAACTCTTTAGCAGGGCCGGCAATGGCGGAGATCAAGAAATATTATGGAGTCATAGATGCTAAAGTTCTTAGCAAGATCCCGATAGGGGAATCCAGGAATTAAGTGGATTGTGGACGAGATTGTCAGTTCTTAAATTTTGTTCACTAGGGTTCGACTTGACGAGTGAGTCATTTATCATGTTGTGCTTGCAAGCATGTAAATAAAATTTCAATTTACCAAGTAAGTTTTTGTAACATTGGTATAATATAATATTTTAAATTTAATATATCAGTGCTTATTTATTAAAAATGTGCATGATCTATAAGATTAAATTTAACACCAAACTATCAAGTTACTTGAATCATATGGCCCGCATGTTCATCGGAAGCCATATGGATAAAAAGGTAAGTTGCTCGTTTTAATCAAGAATTTACATTTTAGTAATTACTATATGCATAGTAGTCTGTTCTTTGCTATAGTGAAAATCTGTTATCTTGTTAGTAGTGATTTATGGCATAATTCCTAACGATCTTATGTTACGAGTTGTGGTGTTTTATTTGTTAGAAATATTATGGAGTTGTAGATGCTAAAGTTTTTAGCAAGATCCCGATAGAAAAATCTAGGATTTAAGTGAAATATGGACATTTAATATGCACTGTCGCGGAATTGATCTTCAATTTGTGAAATTCGGACTCAGTTTCTACCAATCAATATCAAACCACAATCAACCAAAAGCTTCACCCACAACTATGTATTCACTTATAGTTGCTTTCTTCCTTTCTCACCCACAAAGGGATATGTCATGATAGGGATGTCAATTTGGCTCACAGCTCTTGCCGCCCATGGCTCGACTAGAGAAAAACCTGAGCCGACTTGGCTCAGGTATCTGTAGAATCGAGCCGAAGCTCGGGCCGAGCCCATTTTGGGAAATCGGGTCGAGCCATGTTGACCCGTGTGGCTTGTATTAAATTTAAATAACAAATTGAAATGGAAGGGGGAAATAGCCAGCTGTGTTGCCTTTGTGTTATATATAAAAAAATAAAATAAAATAAAAAATCGAATAGGCCTATTGAGGTCCAAGTCTCAATTTTTTTCCAAGCCCTTGCTCGGCTTTGCTTGGGCCAAAAAAAGCCATAACCTATTTTGTTCAAGTCGAGCCCGAGCTTCGTGGCTCGGCTCATTGTCACCCCTAGGTTATGGTTATGATTTGCAAGCCACAAAGGAACGGAGACAAGGCACGAAGAAAAAGAAAAGGCGAGGCAGCCACCATTTTGTTCTCTCTCAAAAAAGGGAAAAGCACTCCCACTTTCCAAATTGACTAATATGTAGGCTATAGTGTTAAAAGTTATATAATCAATTGGGTCAAGATACTAGATAATGTGCCGAGATTAAAAGAAAGTCATCTAAATTTTGACCAATGAAATATTAGCAAATTAAATTGTTACTAGTAGCCCACGTTACTTTCAAATCGAACATATAAATTGATTGTGTTGATAATAATTTCACTTTTCAATCAAGAATTATGAAATATATCCTAAACTGTTTAATACCATTGTCTGGGACTTATTGAGTATCAAAACCCAAGATGCACTATTACAAATATTACGAAGTTATCACTTCTCACACAATTAAATACTATCTACTAGGTCTTAACTTAACGAGCATCCCTATAAGTACATTTCTAGTGTTGTGCTTGGAAGCATGTTTTAACATCATGTACTATAAATTGCAATGTTAATAATTTTAATATGTACCATTGAAAGTTAATAATGTCTCGAATTCAAGAATTATCAACCATCGTGCATAAAATATGTGCAAGTTGTGGATAAAAAGACTTATTTATCTCTAAAGCTTAAACTTGTATGTACAGTAATATAATACTAAACAACCACCCAGTCGCTAGATCATTCATTCAGTTATTGATCAAGACCATTAGTTTATGATGAAAATTTTGGGTCCACGTGTAATATCTCACAAGCAACTCTAGCCCCCGTTTGGCCCCTATTATTTGGGGTTATAATTTTTGGAATAGCCTTTTCTTTTTAACGTGGTTAAAAAAGAATTTTTTTCGATTTATGTATAATATTATTTTATTGAATAATTTGTAGTTGATAAAAAGAGATAGAAGAATGAATTATGATTTTAATTGGGCCAAACGGGGCATAGTAAAGCGCTCAAATTTTCTCAATTTCATGCTTCCAGGATCTCTACGACCTGTGTTATAGGTATCAGTTATCACTAATCACTCTTTATTGTAATTAAGTAAAAGACACAACTGTCTATCCCTTAGATCTATCATCACACAGATAATTCAAGAAAACAAACTACCACAAGAAAATACAAATCTCCCATGCAAGTCCCATATAGGTTACTTGATTGAAATTCCAAGGGAAAATGTGAGAAATGATCTTATTTTGCATTTTATAAGAAGTACGAGAGTTGTTCCTTTTTCCTCGAACCACCTTCCCCATATAAGTCATTCCACTGCTTCAACTCTGCCATGATGGAGCCTTCTGATGCAAAGCTAGCTGCAATCTGTAACACGGTGGAAAAAAGCAGCTCAATTAATTTTTAGTTTGTGGCACATCCATAAATGTTAAAACAAACAAATTGTTGGCTCCTGAGAAAGACAAACGTCGTGACAGCAAACTCGACATCCAAGTCCGTCTTGCAAATTTCTCTTTACAAAAAACACTTGACAAAATTGAGATTCTTTTAACGAACAATACCACAATACACAATAGCTTAATTCATTAAATGAGCAATATTATGGTCAATTGTTGATATGTTCTTGAGAAATTAGACCATATTATTATTAACTAAGATTGCTGTGCTAAACAACATTTATGCTCCATTTTAATCCAATCTGATGTTATTGCTGGACAAATATATGCATTTGCACAATGGAGTAGAGCATAAGTCTCATTTCTTCCATTTTACTAAAATTGGTGAGATCCCTTTCCAGACTCTGCATACAACATTTCAGGATAGATACACGTCTTCAATTAATAATATTGACATAATATTGACAATCTGTAAGCTCCAACTTCGATATGATGTTTCCCTTTTTCATCATTCGGAAAATCACATTATTCTGCACTGCAATATCCAATCATTTCTATCCTCGACTTGGAAGAAAAGAGAGAGCAATTGCATAGTTTGCTGAAATCTAGAATAGAGACTGGTCTGGCAGACAACAAAATCATCATTCATCGTGGCAATAATCCAATGCCCTGAGTAAATTCCCAACTGTTACCATCATTGGAGAGTCTCGTGCACGGCAACACAAGCATTGGTGATAATCAAATGCCCCAATACCTAAGAATTCCGCCATAAGGTTCATCCATGGAGGACGTGTGGGGCAGACCTAAGCTACTACTAGGGCCATTGTGCAAGCAAAGGATGAAAGAACCAAGATGAACCTAGTCTAGTAACCATAAATTGATGGCCCAAATAGTGCACACATCAAGCTCTATCTCTGGTCAACATGGCGTCAAAGAACCAAGATGATATAGCTATTGCAATGAACAAGATTAATCTTTTCTTGATCATTTCACATAAGGGCGTCATAAGCAAAAATAAGTTAAAACTGCACTTGATTTGATAGAAGTTTTCTAAGGGAAAGAGAAGAATTCACCTGATTTTTTGCTTCCTTAAAATCTTCCATGTTCAATGGCCTGATAGTTATTACCCTTTCCTCTTTGTTTTCTTTAGCTGATGTGTCTCCACTTTTCTGCCCTTCCTCAACTCTACGTTTCTTTTCCTACAAAGTGAATAGGGCGATAGAAAAAGGCTTGAGAAATGAAAAAGAAGGTCAAAACATAAATAGGATTTAATAGGTTATCTACTTACCTCATCTTTGAGTCTTTCTTGCTTTATTAATTCTCTGACTGGTCGGTAAGCAGCAGTTATGGACAAGTTCTATATCAAATAAATATAGTATTAACAGTTGAGAATGTATATCAAATCAAAATATTAAAACTAGATAAGTACAACTAAACCTTCAAATCACTTCCACTATATCCTTCTGTCATTGTTGCAAGCTCCTTAAAGTCCAATCCTTCATCAACTTTCTCTTTGGCCAATAGAGTCCTCAAAATCTTTTCCCTGTTCTCCACCGATGGTAAGCCGACCATGATTCTGTCATTAATGAAGGAAGTTACAAATAGTTGTCAGAAACGCAACTAGGCACATCCAGTAGGTTTATACACACACGCACACACACACACATACACGGGCTCCTAACAGAGTTTCGAGGACTGCATATAAGTTTCATAAGATGTGAAACCATTGGCAGATAAAACACGATCTCATTATCCCTTTGTTTAATTAAGGGAACATTGTTGACAAGGCTAAATTAGGCATTCAATTTACCTTCTCTCAAAACGTCTGATGATTGCTTCATCAAGATCGAATGGTCTGTTGGTCGCAGCAAGTACAAGAATTCTTTCACCTGGTTTTGTCAACAGTCCATCCCAGTGAGTCATGAATTCATTCTTTATCTTCCTCATAGCCTCATGCTCCCCAGATCTGTTTCGTTGCCCAAGCATGCTATCAACTTCATCCACAAATATGATAGTTGGAGATACCTTAGCAGCAAGAGTGAACAAGGCACGAACATTTTTCTCATCTTCACCGAACCATTTAGAAGTAATAGTAGACATAGAAACATTAATGAAGCTTGCTCCAGCTTCATTGGCTATGGCCTTGGCCAGCATAGTCTTCCCCGTGCCAGGAGGCCCAAAAAGCAATATTCCTCCACATGGCTTCAAAAGGCCACCTTTAAACAGATCCGGTCTTCGAAGAGGTAGCATCACTAGTTCCTGAAGAGATTCTTTAATCTCATCCAAGGCACCAATATCTGCAAATGTAATGCCAATCTCATTCGCTGGTATGACTTCGGGCCTGATGCGCTTTTCAAATTCATTGTCTGGAGGAACTTCCTGGTGTAATCAACAAAGATAAACAAGCTGTATGAACAGAAATGGAAAAGAAGAGAGCGAGAGAGAGAGAGAACAAGGAAGCAGACACAATGCAATACTCCAACTTCAACATTCAGACAGATATTCAATAATTTGTACACCGTTTGCTGTTGTTACTTCATATATCAACTTTTCAATATTAGTATCTACCCTAGAACTTGGAAAATACAATGTCATGGGGGACAAATTTCTACCAGAAAAATGTGGAATTACTAAATTTTCAAATTAAGAGTTCAATGGAGCACATGAAACAAAACAAAAGCCTACTGGCAAGAAGCTGGAGATCACACTTACTGCAGTTTTTGGTACTGAGGCTGAACTATCACCTTCCTTTTTAGTTGGAGCTGGTGGTCCCTCTCCCCTTTTGGTTTCAGGCTTTGATCCAACAGCTTCTCGATCTTTTGAATCCTATTATCAGTTATTTAAACCAATCAATCAATTGCATATATCACACAGAAACTGACTTTCCAAGCTCAATCTACTTCTAAGAACGAGACAACCAACCTTGGGCATTTCAGCTTGTGCTTCGAGCTTTAAGGTATCCTTCTCAACGGATTTACCTTCCTGAAAAATACTCAACCCATGGGACAAACTAATTCACAGAAAATACAATTAGTTAACACATCTTTACCAGGGAAATGCCATTGAGAATGCAGACATCTAAAGGATCTGATTTCACCTTGTCGATGAGATAACAAGTTTTCCATTTCTATACTCTGGTTCTGGGGTATTCATTAGGTGATATGATATAGCTGACACCACAATTTCTTCTATATAGTTGCCAAGGACCAGTGTATCTGCCATACAGATTGAACCCAGGTCATCACAGTCAATGTCATTAGCAGCAAGTACCTCAATAATGTGATTTTTGTTATCCTGATATTGAATCATCTTTATATCCTCCTCCATCCGGGACTTCCAGCTTACAAGATTGGTTTCATCTTCTGGGGGTTTTATTTCAATATTGTACGAGAATACGGAAGAAATCCTCTCATCTACTTCTCTGTAGTCATTTCCAGCGTCAACAATTCTAGAACCAAGTATCAATATTGATCCAGACAATTTCTTCAGCATTTTCTGGAACAAGACGTACATCCTCTGTGATCTACAAAGTACCTTCTCAACATCCCTAAGATAAAGGACGATGGGACTAATCTTCGATATTTTAACTAGAACCTGTAAAAATAATATCACATTGTAAATAAAATAGAAAATTATGCTTGCACTTCATAATTTTTTTTTTCAAGAGGTAAACCACTTCTCAACCTCTTAAAAATTTAACGTAATGAGAAATAAGACCTTGTAAAGTGTCTGTATAAAAAGCTTCTCATCAAAACACCAGCTGCTAGTGCGCTTAAGTGGAGCTGCGTGGTAGAGATACAAGAGTTAGCAATCCAATAGAAAGCGAGCCACAAACCATCATATGCAAAGTAATCATCTAGTCCTATGTGCAAATCAAAATAACGCAAATCTTCACTTGTAGTAGGGCATAAACCCAAAAAGACAAAAGAATCCCATTCTCAAACAAGAAAATAGCATTGTAATTTGGATGTTCATAGGTCCCTCTGATATTGTACTTTCTAGAAGTCTTGCATATTAGTATTTTGTGAGACATTGTTATATATGTTCTGTATGCAAAATATCCCATGTGAAAGTCCACTTAAAGAAGGATCACCCAGATATTAACCAAATGAACCGTTTGCTTGAAATAACAAGCTAAAGAAAAGTGCAACCTGCTTGATCCACAACGGTTTCCTCTTATTCTTTAATATTTTCCCTTTTTTTTTTGTGGTGGAAAGAGAAGCGGAAGAATGTTGGGTGAAGGAATACCATAGAGGAATTTCTTGCATAAGCCTCTTCTTTAAGCTCTAACATTTCGTCTTTTGGTTTTTTAACATATCTTTATGGCTGAATGTCATTTAACATACATATCTAGTTACATTCTTCCACAACAGAAAATCAAAATTTCAAGTGGAATTACCTCATAATTGTTGGTCACGTTTTTCGTAATTTAAGGAAAAAAAATCTCTCTAATTTGAAAAAAAGGTAATAATATCTCTCTCTCACGGGAAATCTTGTCTGATGAAATTCTAACATAGAACATCCCCACAAAATTTTATCGCAAAACCATATCCTCCATGTAATTCATCATAAAATAAAGTATCTCTTTAAATGTATGTTTAAATTACCTCTAATAATTCTAGGCTACAATGTATTCAACTGTGTGTATAACTTGAGATACCCTTAACCGTAGCATCCCAAAATTTAGTACAAGAGTTCTAGCAAGCTCTAATATGGTTACACCAAAACATGATACAGGTATCCTTTTGGTACAATTTTTTTCTTCAAATATTCCTTTACTTTCCCAGTAATAGTCAAAATATTCTTTAAAATCATTAGATTATCATATAATCCAAACTATGTTTTAAAATTATCTATGTAAGAAATCTAAAGATTCTTATATAGAATAAAAACTGCATCAAGATTCTTGTTGATATATATTCCCTCAGAATTGAAGCATTCACTTGTAGCGTTGTCTTTTACTGACAATTGTTATCGAAAAATCATTTTGGCAAGTAAAGTGCACTCTGACAGAGTTCTGGTTAAATTGATTCAAAACCTGAAGTTGCAGAAGTACAGGTTGAAGAAAGATTATTCAAGTTTGCTGAGGCAGATGCATTTCTACGTAGCTGTGGAGGGTTAAAGGAGCCTTCTTGTCCCCTGCAGATAAGGATCAAACCCATATTCAATCATTAAAAAGAAGCAGCAAGAACTATGCAAAATGTAAAAGTACCACAACACACTTTGATACAAGATCAACTCCACTTCTTTGCCTGCGCAAAGTACCTGTAATAGAATAGATTCGCAAATTCAGGATGGAAAAGAACTAATTGAATGTACCTAAAAGAACTGAAAAAGAAAGACTATCAGCATCAAATGCACTGGTTTAATAAATTCTTAAGATTCCAAAAATTCTGGCACAGATCATCGTGCTAGTAAGAAGACTTCCAGTATTTTAGGAGAGGACTTGAACTGGAGCTTACAATTTGCAGATATGTGTTACTCTTGTAACTCAGATGACATCATCAAATATCATCAGGAGCTTAATGAACTATAATTACACAGGTTCCTAGTGCAGCATAGCTGCTGCTCGAAATATCCATTTAGGTAATGTTGAACATCAACATTTGGTCAAGTTTATGCATCATGAGAACAAAATGCCCCAAACTAGAAGATCCTGATTTAAATGCCGTGTAGATGATAAAATGCTATCCACACATTAGGAGCCTTTAGGAAGGTTGCCTCGAAAAAGTGACTAGCTGAGATGAACAAGAGTACTTCGTGCTCTCTATGTATATAGCCCCTAACTTTGCTCTCTGAAATTCCATCATTTTAGAAGATAAATATTGGCGGTCCATGCTAAATAAGCAAGATGTATATGAAAAAAAATAAAATTGTCAAACAAAATGCCCAACTTGAGTGAGATAAAGCCTAAATCTACATAAAAAGATGGGTAGGGCTTGCATATTCCTGTAGATAGATGCCTGCAAAAAGAAATAACTTCTCCACGCTTCAAATCATTGTGGTTTACCACAGCCTAGTAGGGACAATGATATCAAGAGCTTATCTCACGTGTTGAACTAGTCATGGTTGAACAAATGCTTGTGTCCAACTAAAATCGGAGTGTGCCCAAATCACAGTTTAGGAAGACACACAGATAAAAGCACAAACACCAGGGCCAGACCTACATTAGGATTGCGGACCAACGTTTTGCAAATTTTAGATTTCAAAAACTTCCCTCCTACCTGGAGGCCCAGAGCTCTCTCGTGATCAAAACAATAACATTAGAATAATATAGCTGAGTAGCTGGACAACAGTTGAGATCCAGTTCTACCAGTCATGTCCGTACTACATATGCACCATTGCAATGCCTTAAAAAATGAATCGAAGCCCAACCACAAAATGTATTGGTTACAGATCGAGCACGCATCTTCACCCATCATAAGAATAATCTGTAACCAAGGAAAACAATGTAGAATCCTGGCTCTTTGAAAAACCCTCCACCATTCTCAAATCAAATTAATATTCGGGATGAAGAAGATAACACGTCAAAACTAAGCACTAAGATAGAAAACATAAAAACACAGGTTTAGGCAGGGTTTACTTTTTCATAACTAATGGTAACACAAAAATCAATTAAATATTAAAATATATGGATATCGTTCAAAATAAGGTTCACTAGAAAAGATAACATTTCATCCTGTCATACCTTTGCTTTCCTCCTGTTGAAGCATTGAAAATGATCCAAATAATTCAGACATTCGGCTCAATGTTGTTTCTGATATAGACCTTTTGAAATACTACAACAAAAGATATTAGCCAAACAGCGAAGTGCTACATTTTATGGGTGCTACATTTTATTCTAACTCATGTTGCTGAAGGCCTGAAGGCAATAGCATGGCAGGCCGGAAATAAGACAACCATCCTTTACAGTTTGCAAATATTTATCATATACACAGAAAGTAGGTTGTAAAAGAAGAATGTGACGAACTTACAGATTCTTTGTTCGAAGCCCCATATTTGCTCTGGATCTTTTAAAACCAACCATCCAAGGATTTAGTACAATAATATTTAGCAGATTAAGCTCTTGCTGTGAACATAAAAATGTATCTTCTAGATATAAACTCACCTTCAGTGAAAAATCAGTTACGTCTAACAACAATAACTTGGCCTCAAAAAAATGTGCTAAAGCCTTGGCAAGCATTTGCTGGTACAGTTCTGATATTAAAAATGAATCATATTTAGATTCAATGATAAGTAAGAACTTGCTAAGAATAAAACGAATATGCTTGAATCTAACCAGCAGGGCCAGAGAGCAATATTGTCCGACTTGCAGGAGAAAGATTCCGTGTGTGTTTAGTGACATCAGCTTTCAAATGTACAAAAGCAGCACTTGTTAACAAGACTCTGGTCTGTTCACTGCAAATTTGATGAGCAAGAAAGACATCAACACAATTATACTCTGTGCTTTGACAACAGTGAGAGTAGTCCAAAACAATTGGGTTTATATTACATCAGCATCTAAATAATGCAACAAAAGAAGTTTCAATTTCCAATGATCTGGATCAAGAGAACGCAAACTTCATTTTTACAGAAACTCCTGATAAAGAGCTGCATGATGCACATACTTATCTACTTGTAAATTTATTTTATTGCTTCTTTTCCCTGCTGGTTGTTTAAGCTATTCATTCGGTGCACATGTTAGAAATCAAAATTATGCCCTCCATAAGTAGCAACTATATTTAAGAGGGCCGAGCACATCAGTTCAGGAAAGGGATTATGAATTACAGATCAACACAACAGAATCCACCTCGTGAATTGTAACTAGTCACGACTTGGTCTGCATATCTCAAATTTCTTTTTTGTCTTTCGGGAGAAATCAACATCCCTACCAATTGAAATTGAAGAAGTGCTATTTTAACACTTCAGTCATTTCATTTTTCAAAACAAATCTTTTCTAATCAATATCTGGTTAGGCATATTAAGGTGAAGATATCAAAAATGAAACTGAGTGGATGAGGAACTAAATCGTTCCATACAACAAAAAATTGTAAAAATATTTTAATTTTAATGCAATGGACAAAAAGGCCGGTAGAATTTACCCTCTGCCATCACATTGCTCCAAGAATTACATATATGCATGCCTTACTCAAGCATATGGAAAAATATATAACACAACATAGCATTACAAAAGTCAATGCATCCACACTCCAGTAATTAACATTAGAGAATCGTTTAAAGCAATGATTATCGATACTTCATAAATGAAATGATATGAATTTGTGTTATATCATATCTAACAAAGATAGATGCTTTAAATGTCAGATAATAGTGTCACAAAATTTAAATCACGGTTAAAGGTTTTTCTGGTTGGTTTTCTTTCCTAGGCTACTTCCTAGTTAAAGATACGATCAGGAAAGCAGATTAATAAATACAGAGATTTCTAGTTTCCCCTCAATTAACCTTAGGTAGTATGGGAATTGATCAAAGGTGACTTGGCTATCCCTTCCATTTACGATGAGGCTGACCATTTCCTGCTCCATAGTTTGCGGAGAGAGAGCGCCCGGAGTGGCAGCCCCGCCGGCCCATTGTCCAACGGTTTGCGATCCTGACGCCAATCCAAGCCCCACTCCTACTCCTATACCGACTCCCAAAGCCGACATAAACATATGCTTCGGTTCCATTTCTCCTCAGTACTCACTCTCCACAAAGCACTGATCTTTAACACACAAAAACTGCGTTAAACAGAATCAATTCAAACGAAGAATCAAACAACCGGTTTCTTCTTCTTCTTCTTCTCCTTTTTTTCCTTGCAGATTTTCGATTACGTAGGGAAAGAATACAACGAAACAGATTCTGATCTAAAAGCGCTAATATTTTGGTTCGAAATACAATCGCCGGTGATGCATATTGATTATATGTAAAGCAGGTGAATTGTCTGTTAACGCAGGAAGATAGGGAATAAAGCAGGTGAATTGACGACGATGTTTTGAGTATATTTTACACGGCAATGAGACGCCGGCGGGCGCGGGTAGAAACTGAAAAACGGTGGCGGAGGGTGGTTAGTTTTTTGCTGTAATTCAGAGTCGGTTCCTTCCCGCTTTATCAGGCCTCGATTTCTGAAATTTTAAAGTAATAAAGAGGGACCCACTTCAATAGTGACGTGGCTGTTTTTAATGGCTCTGATGTGCTTTTGAAGAGAGAGATAAATGGATGGGTGTACACGTCTGTGATGTGAAATAGAGAACGTTTCACTAGAGGTCACCTATTTCTAAGTTTATTTAATATTAGTCACTCAACTTACATTTAATTTCAATTTGAACATTTTTTAATAATCCGTAACTTAAATGTGAGCTTCTATAGTTCAAAATGAGTTGTATATAAATATTGGAGTATTTTTTTGATCACGTCTAGGAGTGGATTCAGGATTTGAAAATTTCTAAGTCGAACTTATATAAAAAATAAAAAATTCAACACAAAAATTTACACATCAGAGATTGAAGTAGGTTGAGACTGGCATGGGTTAAATCCCGGGCCAAGTGCCAACCCCCTTAAATCCGTCAATGGTAACGTCATGATTATAGATATAAGGATATCAAAATGTTTCGACTTTATCACGTCCTAAATCTATCAGATTGGTTGTGATTATGAACATTGGCAGCGTGATTTCCACCCCATCGACACAACGATTATTTTGTTTATTTTATGTTTAAAACACAAGTATTTTAAAAATAAATAAATAAATGAGTTAAAGAAGATGAATATTTCAATTCCCGTTCATCTCCGTCAGAATCCCTTCAAGGTTGTCTTGTCGTAGGCTCTCCCCATGTGGAGAAAATAAAAATATAAATATAAATGGAATGATCAAAGTAAAGAAAAAATAGAATTGTGTGGTTAACTTAAAGTAAAACTGTAAGTTAGGTGACCTCAAGTGAAAAACACTATGATGCGTTGGCGATGCACTGGATCTTTCTTGTGTGCTTCAAATTATACGATGTATACTTGGGAATACTTAACTGCTTTATCTTTTGATGCGCCGAGACGTGTAGCCAATCAGCTTTCAGTAAACATCTACTTTTACGAAATGGAAAATTACTTGTATGCCCCTTATCTCTTTGGAGCTTGGATAAAGAATATCTATTTTTGGCTACTATTCATTGAACTTCGTACATAATTAATCCGCACACCCTGCGAATTCTGTTTTATGTCAGTTTTGCTTTTTTTCTTCTTATTCTCCAAAATAAAAATTAACAAATAAATGATTTTACATCGTTGGCCTATGTTTGATTGAGATAAAAATTTAATTTTTTAATAAATTTGATAAAAGTCGATAGAATGTATGATTAAGAAATCGTGAATTCTATTAAATATATTATTAAAATTAATTATTGACTTCACTTGGATATTAATTTAACTTTTTAATTGAACCAAACATGGACCAAATAAGCAATTAACACGCATTTTTAGGCCTCTGATCCGACACGATCCAAAACTATTCCAAACAGGTGGGTTCAGCCAATAAATCTAAGACAAGCACAAAAATTTGATTATAGATTGATTGCGACATGATAATTGATAGTGTTACAATACTTGGTAAGGTCAAAATATGTGATGTAACTTTTACGTGTCACTTTTCTCATATTTTTTATTTAACTATTGGAATACATATAATCATTATATTTAGAGGTGACAATGAGTCAAGATGAGCATACTCATCCCTTAAACATTCAAGCTCGACTCCTGACCAAATTCGAAACTCGATTTGGTCTTCTAACTCATGGGCCTCGACTCATGGAAAAAAGTGATATCAACTTGGCTATGATTCTTCTCAAAATGAGTTTGAACTGCTCGAGACGAGTCGAGCTTGCGAGGTGCTCGACCCCAATTACCACCCCTAGTTATATATCCCATTGGAACAACAATCCTGCATTCTAATGTTGTCTAAATGTGCAAGTACTATACATGTAAATAGAGAAGTTATATGATTTCGTTAGGTTTAGAATCGGTCAAATTTTGAGATCAACATTTTTTGCATTCTTATAAATAAAATTGTGAATGACATAAGCCAAATGATAATACGGGGTGATGAATTTGAGGTTAATTAACTTATTTTGCTTCACCGGTAAATGAAATTATCTAGAAAAAATAAAAGAATTGAACTGTTTGGCAACCATTATTTCAAAATTTTTGTTCTACATATTCATTTTCGGAATATGCTACTTGTACATAATGCGGTGTTCACCCCCTCACATGGAATACGAAGTGGGTCCCCCTCTATGTGAGGGGGTGGACACCGTTATGGACACTGCATTATGTACGTGTGGCACTACTCTTCATTTTCAACCACTTATTCACACAATAAATATTATGTACGTAAATTCAAAACTTTTTTTTACTTTTTAAATACACTTTCTTTTAAAAATTATTACTCAAAATATTGTTTTTATAAATGATTGTCATTGTCCATCATGTATTAACACATATTCCCCGTCATTGACTCTATCATTGAGGATGTCACTGTATCAAGATTGTAACCTAACAATAATGCTTCTCAGGCAAATGACGAGGGAGTTGACCAGTTGGGGTGGCGGACATGATTGAGTGTTATTATTATTATTATTGTTTTTAAATTGTTCAATCATGTATTAATACATGTCTCATATGTCGTTAAGCATGTCACTGTAGCAAAATTGTAACTCTTAACAATAATGCTCCGGCAAATGACCTGAAGAGTTGACAAGGTATGGTAGGGTAGGGTGGGGTGGGGTGGGGTGGCAGGGCGGGATTGGGTGTTATTTTTTTTTTCCAAACTGCAGTTATATATTGACACCTATTTTCTCTTTCTTTACTCTATCGTTGAAACTGTCCCTATTGTAACTCGACAACAATGTTTTATCATTGTCAATAGATATTTATGGAATCTACTAGACTCAACACGTAGAAAATGTACACAAGTTTTCAATAATGGCTTGTAACTAGATAGTGCAATTTGCACAGTGACTTATGGTTCGTGTCATAAATGCTCGTGGGTAAGATTGGACGAGTCGAGTAGGATCGATTATAGCCAACCCTGACACACTCGACTCGGTCAATTTTGGACTATTCTAAAATCGAATGTCCCGATTCTGTGACAAAAGTCGGCTAAATCCAAATCGGATCGGATAATTGGTTTTCCTTCTTTTACTAATTTCAATATAACAAGAGCTTCTAAATACAACTCTAAATACAGCAAATCTCACCTATGTAACCCTAATTTTGAAAACTCTAACTTCCCAATTTGAAGGCTTTCCAATACCAAAGACAAATTTAAATACCTTTGAGAAAATTACCTGATACCTATGTTAGAAAACCTCATCGTATTCTGATTCATTTTATAGGAGTGTATTTATAGGTTGATGATTTTAAAAGTTGGTTTGGGTTCGAGCAATTGGGTTGGATTTGAAAGGATCTAGAAATTTTGTACCAATAAACTGAGCCGAACCGCATAATTTCAGAAGACAAATTCTCAAGTTAGGCATTAAGTATGAAGCAATTCAATTTTCAGGTTTTAAGTTTTAAAGTTCAGAACAACTCATGTATTAATTAATTAATTATATTTTATTAATTAAATATGTTAAGGTCATATTATACAATTAATGGTCACAAAAGCGTACTTATATGTCATAACTTATTTATTGATCACATATTATTAAATTAATTGATCACAGATTATTTCATGATCACAAATCAAAAAATTTACAGGTCACAGTTTATTTTTCGATCACAAATTTTTAAATTATTTTTCAGTCACAAACTATCGAATTTTTAAGTCACAATTAAATAGTTGGTCACAAATAACTAAATAATTTGTCACAGATTAACCAAATAGTTGATTGTAAACCACCACCACCAACACGCCGCCGCCGCCACCACCACCACCACCAACACAACCTAATAGCGTCGCCATCACCAACACAGCCCCATCGCCAACAACATAGACATAGACAGCCTCAACACTCAATCAAATAATTGGTCACAAACACCCCACCCCACGCCACCCCACGCCACATCGTACCGCCACCACCAACATCACCACCACCTCACCATTACCGCCATCATAACCACCATCTCACTAGCGACGCCGTCATCACAACCACCACCACCACCACCCAAACACCACCAAAAAATCAAATCCAAAATTATCACAATGATCGCCACAACCACCCTTAAACTCATGATAGGCATACCGGAGAAGGAAGAAATCCAACAACTCATCGTCGGAAACTACCAAATTACAGACATTGTCATGCGCTCAACCACAAACTTCGTTGGCTCTCAACCACAACCAACAGCACACCTCCTTCACCTCTACAAGAGAAACATGGAAACAGATGGACGCCGAAGTAAGAAGCTATCGTCGCTTCATGTACAACGGTGATGGGTGAGGTGTCAATGCGATGCACATGGGTGCCGGTGCTACACCTACTACCACGCAAATGGGGGCTAGTGCTGCGCTTTTCACCGCGTGCGTTGTTCACTAGTGTTGTGTCTGTCTCTGCGTGCACGAGAATCGTGAAGAGTTGTTGGAGGGTTGGGTGGAGGTGGAAAATGAATCGAAAGTTCAAAGATGAATTACAGTTTTGTGGGGGCGGGTGAGTTTGGTTAATTTAATTTTATAATATTAAAAATTTTAAATTATTAACTG